CCGGGGGGGACAATCGAGGGGACGCAAAAAGGGAGGGTGGCGGGTGCCCGGGTGGCAGCCCCGCAYGCGCCGCTCCCAGATGGGAAGCGAGCGGGGAGAAGGGCAGCGTGTTATTAAAACGTGTTGAGTTTGTAATAATCCAAGGGGGTGGCATCGCCACATGGGAGGGAGCTATTTTAGACACAAACGCTCCGGAGAGGGGCTGCCGAGGGCACCCGCGGGAGGGAGGGGGGGGGTGACGGGGGAGAAGGAGACCCTCCGCAGCCCTCCCCCTTCCCCTCCCCAATCCCGCTTTTCCAACAGGTTGTGTATTACACGGAGATGCACAAGATTTTTGGGGACCTGACGGCGCAGATCGACCGGCCCGGGCTGAGCGATGAGCAGCGGGAGAGGGAGAACGACGCCAAGCTGAGCGAGCTCCGGGCGCTCTCCATCGTGGCTGATGACTGAGGGGAGGAGGGGGGTGGCCCCCCTCGACCCCAGCTCCCAGCCCAGGGGTGGATTTGGGGCGCTGGAACTGCTCCCTTTGCCGCATGGATCCCTCCTGCCCCGACGAGGGGCGGGGGGCACAGCGGGGGCCACCCCCTGCCAGCGTCTGGAGATTGGTTTTTGCCTCCCCCACAGACGGGTTTTGCCTTAAATTGGGGGGTGTGGTGGAGCAGGGAAGGGAGGTGTCCCATGTGGATGAAGGTGGGAATGGGATGGGGGCTGCTGGCCTTTTCCAGGCACTCCCACAGTCCAGACCCACTCCAGGAGGATGAGACACCCCACCCTCAAGCCCCTTCATTTTGTGCCTTAGGAGCCCAGCGGCCCCCCCAGGGGAGGGTAAAAATCGCTGAAATCCCTTTTTTTATTTTTTTGAGGGAAAGGGTGATGATTCCCGTGCCGAGCATCCCTGCCTCTTTGCATGGGAGTGGCACAAAATGCCTCTGCCCCACAGCTTGGGGGAAGGTACAAGGGGTACCCAGGGAGGGGGAGCCCAGAGAGATCCATAAAGGAGGATTTTTTCCCCAGCTAGGAGAAAATCCAAGGAAAACTGGAGGGGGGGTGAGGGGGGATGCTGCAGCCCCTCCTCGGTGTCCGGGGGAGGGCACGGGGGCTCCGCCGCTCTTCTCCAATAAAGTTTTTGGGAGCGCAGCGCCGGTCGCTGTCGGTGCCCATCGCCGTGGCCTCGGGGCCACCGCCGGGCCGCTGCCGCC